ATTTTATATCTTGGGACAGCCTAACCTAGGTTTGATCTTTCCCAAGCCATTCTTAGTATATTAAAGAGGATTCTTTTAAGCAAAAGACTAAGGGGTTTAATTAATAGTCATTAAATTTTAGTAAAATCTTTTGGTTATACTCTCTGGAAGTGTACCATAGTAAGGAGAGAGTATATGCCTCTCTTTTACAAACCAGAAGGGGAGAGAGTGTTTGCGCAGAGGGAATGTGGAAAAGGAGAATGGTGACATGGTGACATGTACCACAGGAGCCTTTCGAGTAGATCAGTTTAGTACCAAGTGCATTTATTTAGAAATCAAGAAGCTGGAAATGGATCTATCTACAATTATCCATACCTGTATTTCCTTTTAAAGGTCTTCAGAGGGATAGAACCCACAGATTCCTTAGTCTGATTTTGTTTGTATCTTTGTAGATAATTGGCTTTCTTTCGGTTTTCATTTGTCTGATAAATACTTATTCATTGTATATTTATTGGAATACCATTTTTATATGAAATTTCCAGTTGCTTGATAAATATAAGAATTGAATTATTGTTATTTTTTTTTCTTTGACAGAGTCTCACTTTGTCACCCTGGGTAGAGTGTCGTGGTATCATAACTCAAACTCCTGGACTCAAGTGATTTTCTTGTAGTTCCAGCCATAGTCCCGAGCAGCTGGAACTACAGGCACCCACCATAATGCCCTGCTGTTTTTAAAGACAGGGTCTTGCTTTTGCTTAGGTTGGTCTTGAACTCCTGAGCTCAAGCAGTCTACCCATCTTGGCCTTCCAGAATATTGGGATTACAGGCGTGAGCCATGCCCGGCCTTGAATTATTGTTTGAGTGTTACCTATTAAGTAGATTTTTCAAGCTAGTCTCATAAATTGTGTGATTTTTTTAATTCTACAAGGTAAGATGACATAGTAGTTAGATGTGTCTTGTCATGCATGAAACCTATTTGAATTATTCTTTTGGTAGGAAAATTTAATCTGTAGAAAATGGTAGAGATTATATTTTTAGGAATGGTTAAGGATCTATTCTTCCTATGATTGAATGAAAGATAGTTGTACTTAAACGTGATCCCTCTTTTCCATAGGGATATGTTCTTATATTTTGAATGAATTTCAGGGAAAACCAGTGATTTTTCCTTCAGGTGTAAAAATACATTTTCTGTCAATTTCAGAATGTGGAGTAATCTAAAGAGACACTTCTGCCTTGTGCTGGAGATAACCTGGGACATCTTTTAAGCAACGTCACGAATATAACTCATAACCATCTGTAGAGAAAAAAAGTGATAATTTTCAGACTTACTCAATATAGAGAAAGAGAGATATAATAACTAAGACTCATAAGAGAAAGGAAGATAAGTATAATGTGGAAGGGCACATTTATGAAGGCTCTGCTATATTTCATAGTAGTTGGGTTATTCTGCACATGTAATTTCATTTCTGATAAATATGTATGTAGAGGAAAAGATTGACTATGGAAGACTGTATTAAGCTCTTAACAGAAATGTAAAGCAAGAAAGAGATTGGTTTTGCTAGGAGGCAAGAAAGATGTGAAATGATGTTGGTTCAGCAGTTTCTCCATTTTGCCAGTAGGTGGTGATATCGTATAAAGACAGCTTGGTTGTGGCAGGTAAGATAGTCAAAATTTGGTGTTGGGTTGGATATCTACATTTTAAACAACTAAGTCCAAGAGTATTGCTTAAATTTTTGTAATGTCACTCATCTTTGTAGCACATTTGTGGTGATTTTTATTTAACTTTCTTTTTAATATCTAATTTGACCTGTGTACCCTACCCTGAAGTATTTTATAAATACCTCTGTGTCTGACATAATTAGTGATGATAAAACATATATGATGAAAAGATATCTAGATATGCCCTCTGCCCTTCAAAAGTTTACATACCAAAACAAAATAATAGATAATATACCTAAGAAACATTAAAAATACATTAAGGAAGATAAGAATTTAAATATATTTGTACTGTTTATTATTTTATTACTTATATGGCATAAGTATATGTGCATATTTGGAAGTTGGGTTTAGGATAGGGTGACCAGACGTCCCCCTTTTCAACAATTTGTCCCATGTCCCGCAGTGTTTTTAAAAAGTCCCGATTTTTGGATAGAATGCACCAATGGGCAGGAGAACAAGAAGGGAATATACAGTTTTCAGCTGCCATATGGCTATTTCGCCAGAATATGAGTTTCATATTATTTTTGTTAATTTTATAATGTTAAACTGTAATAATAAATAATTGCTGAGAAGTGATTATCGAGAACTGCTTATCCAAGTCTGCATTGTTGTCAGGCCCCGCCCCGTCCCCATCCCCTGCCCTGCCCGTCCCCATCCCCTAGCCCACCCCCGCCCCACCCCTGCCTCGCCCCCCAGCCATGTTGTCCCGCCTTACTGATGTTAAAATCTGGTCACCCAAGTTTAGGAGGACGGACCACTCAGAAGGTCCTCTCATCTATGAATAACCCATATCCCAGGGATCTTTCTGTGCCTACCACTAAACTCTCCATTATTTTTAAATTCAAAACATTTGGCTAGTAATGTGTTTTTGTTATGACTTAAAATGACAGTGTCCTTTTGACACAGGAAAGTTGACTCCCAAAACTTGGAGCCACTTAAAGTTCAAGTGGGTGGGTCCTTGGCTTTGTGCAAGAAAGAACTCAGGAGTCAGCCAACAGTATAAAGTGAAAGTAAGATTTATTCAGAAACCATAGAAGTTCTATTCCACAGACAGAACACTGAGAAGCAAGTTCTCCCTGCAGGAGACAACTGACCCCCAGTTCCTGTTTCCCTTGCATTTAAGCTAAACAAGGTGAGGAATATTCCGGAAAGGGCAGTGGTGTTTTCCTGGAATCAGGATGACACCCTTTATTTTTCCACCATGTTGGTTCTAACAGATTGGAACTGCCTCCATCCTGTTTTGATGAAGGTAATTTGAAACTTGGTCTTACCTCAATAATGCTGCAGCAATGTCGAAGGCAGTTTCTGAAGCAGTATCCAAAGCAACGTCCAGAACAGTGCCTGAAGCACACTACCTGCCAGTTCTCTGTTTCACTTTGACAGTTGAAGTTACTGCCTCTTGATTAGAGGGTTCTCTGTTACTGGATTAGAGTAAAATAGGTCCTATTATTCCTAAATTGGAGCTCTGAATCCACTTATTCACAGACACTGTGTTTTTGATAGTAGTTAAATAAAGTGGTATGCAGCCCTAATTTTAAAAATCAGACCTTTCTTTTCTGGGGTTTTGGAATTAGACTTCCCTGGTTTTTTATAGAGTGAGTTATCTGGGAAAGCATTTTCTCTTCTGCAAAAGAAGGCATTTTTGAGTGACCATATATTTCCATTAAACAGGATTTCTTGATTAAAACCTACCTCATTTTCTTTAGCTTGAAGCAGGCTGTTTCTCTTCTGTTCTCTGGTAGTCTTTTTTAAAGATCTAAGTTCTACCTTATCTTGATGGTGTATAGTTTGTGTCATCCCAACTATACTGTTTATTTGTTGAAAGCAAACTTTCTTGCTTAGCCTCGTATCTGTTATCAACAGAATCTTGGCGTAGTGCCTTGCAGGTTGTAGGTGCTCAGTTACATACATCAGATGCTTAAGGAAGGCTTTAGGTGGTTGATGCCCAAGTAATATGCTTTAGGATAATTAGCTGTGACTGGAAATAACTGTTTATACAGCATAAGGTATTTAAATTGTCTTTTAAAGTGGAAGAACTCCTATGACCAGGTATATGGATTTCTGATAAATGGATACTATGGCCTTTCAGCTTATAAAGCACAGTAGTGTTTATTTTGGAACTCAAAATGCATTCCAATATACCTATCCATCAAATCCAGTCCACATACAAGACAGATTCATTGCTAATTGTCTAAGTTACCATCCTTTTGGAAGTCACTGATCTTTTGAGAATTTGATTGAAAGTCTTTTCACCCACCACCATTATATACATACAACATCCAGAAAAATACACATGTGTTACAAAGATAGTTCTGTGTACTGTTTGGGGGAGCTCATAAGCCCTCATGTTAAGAATGTCCTTAGATTTTGGAATAGACTACAGCTAACTAGTCAAGAGGCAGCAAGATATAATGGAAAAATAGACTATATACAAAATCAGTTGATCTAGCTCTTATTCTGTTTTTGATAATTGTGCCATTTGACACAGGTCATTTATTTAACCTTTCCTCCTTGCCTGTTTCTTAATCTGTGAAGTGAAGTTGCTGGATCCAAGATTAAATGCGTTAACATGGGTAGTACTTAGTAGCACTGGGTACATAGTGTGCTCCTAGCTGTCATTCCCAGTCTTTGTACTGTCCTACAAAGGATTTCTGAATTTTGTAAAGCTGTCTTTTTTCTAATGAATTATCTTGTCTTTAAGAAAACTACTCTCCCATATATGTATGTATATGTACATATACGCATACTTCTTATTTATATAAACTTGGGTAGCAAGTTTATTCCGTTACCTTATAAGATAAGTAATAAGCGAATAACTTTCATCTTTTCAGTTTGGATGTATTATATCTATTGGAAATTCCATTACTGGCTCAGCACCCATAGCTCAGTGATTAGGGCACTGGCCACATACACTGAAGCAGGTGGATTCGAAACCAGTCTGGGCCTGCTAAACAACAACGACAACTGCAACAAAAAAATAGTCGGGTGTTGTAGCGGGCACCTGTAGTCATAGCTACGTGGGAGGCTGAGGCAAGAGAATTGCTTAAGCCCAAGAGTTTGAGGTTGCTGTGAGCTATAATGCCACGGCATTCTGCCAAGAGCGACATAGTGAGACTCTGTCTCAAAAAAAAAAAAGCAAAGCAAAGCAAATCCCATTATGGTTCATGTAAAATATTTTTATAAAAGCCGATTCCATTAATGTCTATATCATCAGCAAACAGGTTGTTGTTAAAAGTGTGTAACTTTTATATATTACTCAGTAAGATAAATACCTCCTTGTTTGTTTGTTTGTTTTATACTAGGGAAGAAGACAAAAACATATTTGATTACTGCAGGGAAAACAACATTGACCATATAACCAAAGCCATCAAGTCAAAAAGCGTGGATGTGAATATGAAAGATGAAGAGGTATGAAAAATACGCCCTGCTAATTATTTTCTTATGCTTTGTTTTCTGCCTCATTGCCTTTTTCAAAATGGTAGGCCAGTGAACTATAATGCAAAAGTACAGTATGGTTAAGAACCTATAAGGAGGGCGGCACCTATGGCTCAATGGGAAGGGCGCCAGCCCCATATACCAAAGTTAGCAGGTTCAAACCCAGCCCCGGCCAACCTGCAACAAAAAAATAGCCGGGTATTGTGGCGGGCGTCTGTTGTCCCAGCTATTCAGGAGCTTGAGGCAAGAGAATCGCCTAAGCCCAGGAGTTAGAAGTTGCTATGAGCTGTGTGACGCCACGGCACTCTACCAAGGGCAATAGGGTGAGACTCCGTCTCTATAAAAAAAAAAAAAAAAAAAAAAAAGAACCTATAAGGATATCTAAATGAGATGGTGTCACCCAGTTAAGTTACTTTTTGTGTCTGTAGCAAACTTTCTTTTATCTATGTTTTAGAAGTTACTGCCTGAAACTTGCAGGAGTTAAATAACTTCTATTTGTTTATGGTAAAGGCAGAGACTGTTAGCATAATAAGTGAAATCTGTTGGTAATATCAAAATGTCATTTATAAATAGCTTCAGTGCCTTCTATCATTGTGGCTTAAATAGATACATTGTTCCTTACAATTCTTTTAATTGTTTCTTTTGTAGCTTATCTACACATAATTCTAAATAATATACTTCTGTCTCTTTTTTTTCAATATCAGACGTTATTGATTTCCTTCTTGGTTATATTAGGATTTATTTATATACTTTTTTTTTTTTTGAGACAGAGTCTCACTAAGTCACTCTCAGCAAAGTGCTGTGGCGTCACAGCTCACAGCAACCTCAAACTCTTGGGCTTAAGTGATTGCCTCAGCATTCCAACTAGCTGGGACTGCAGGCACCTGCCACAATGCCTGGCTGTTTGTTGTTGCAGTTGTCATTATTGTTTAGCTGGCCTAGGACAGGTTCGAACCCACCAGCCTTGGTGTATGTGGCTGGCGCCATAACCACTGTGCTGTAGGCACCGAGCCTTATATTAGGATTTAAATGTTTTACTTGTCATCACCAGCCTATCCCTCCTCATATAGTTATATGTACATCACAACTTTTAATTTCAGCTTTCAAATTCTATTTCTGTCCAATCCATGTTTATATTAATATAACTATATGAATATTGTTCATTATTTACTGTGGATAATACTATGTGTATCAGCCCCAAATTTTGGTGGTTTATGACAACAAGCATCTATTTCCTTTATTTTTAAAATATTTATTTATTTATGGGAAATAGAGTCTGACTTTGTTGCCCTCAGTTAAATGTCCTGGCATCATAGCTCACAGCAACCTCAAACTCTTAGGCTCAAGCAATCCTTCTGCCTCAGCCTCCCAAGTAGTTGGGACTATGGGCACCCGCCACAGGACCCAGCAATATATTTTTTTTTTTTTTGAGACAGTCTTACTATGTTGTGCTCAGTAGAGTGCTATGGTGTTCCACCTCACAGCAACCTCAAACTCTTGGGCTTAAGTGATTCTCTTGCCATTCTCTTGCCTCAGCCTCCCAAGTAGCTAAGACTACAGGCGCCCTCCACAATGCTTGGCTATTTTTTTGTTGCAATTGTCATTGTTGTTTAGCTGGCCTGGGCTGGGTTCAAACCTGCCAGCCTAGCTGCATGTGGTTGGTGCCGTGACCACTGTGCTACGGGTGCTGAGCCAGGACT